TGAGGCGATCCGTTTTTTGAGCCTCAGTCAAATTGTGTGGGATCCACCGAGACCACAGCTTTTTCACACCCAAATGTTTGTGTAGTATTGATTGCATTTGACTCATGCCTATGCTTAAAGATGCGAATCTCATGGTATGTCAAATGCCTGTCTGTTTTGATCATACGGCGCACAGCATCGATGTTTTTGTTGTTTACAGCAGTGGACGGGCAACCTCACGAAATTTGTCACTGAGATTCACCCGACCGCATTTGAATTCTGCAAAGCAGCTATGAATAGTCATCTTGCATGGTGCTTCATCGCCAAAAGCAATTTAAAGCCGAGCGAAGCTCCGCTGAACTGTTAAATTACACTTAAAGTCGTATAAAATCATACTACGAAAATTTTCACGAGTTAAATCCATGGTGATGTAGACAACCACTTTCTAAAATGACGCCACAATGTAAAAACAAGTGACAGTCAGATGAAACAAACTTTATTCTACAGCCAAAGAGTTCCATTTTCAAATGTTGTAACTACTTTTTAAATATTGTTATAGATAATGTTAGTTCTTAGTAGTTAGTTAATAGTGGTAAGAAGAATCTTGCCACTTTCGAGGTGTTAAACAAAATACCACACATTTTTTTGAAATATTGGCCGCTGTGGTTACCGACTATCAACACTATTAACTCATTATAGACGTACTTAAGACAAAACGTTTTATAATACAACGACAAAGGGTAAAACATTATATTTTTTTCTCGTAGGTGTCGTTGAATGGAAGTTCATAGTCTAGGTTTCAATCTTAGAATAATAACGCATAGAATGATAGTTTCATATCAAACGAACTGTCACAAGTGAGGCAAAAACCAAATTCATGTAGGCGTAAGCAACTTGTAACTACGCTCGTCGGCACGCACACAAATATACAAATAATGATGCCATGGAATAACATTTCCCTCAAAAGTGAGGAAATTGTATCTTGCTTAACTCATCATTAAGTTAAAGGTGCCTACAGATTTGCCCGACATTGTCGATCAGGTGCCTACAGATGTGCTCGGTTTTGTCGATAAAAAACGAATATAGCACTTATTTGTAAATCCAAGATGGCGGACACGATTTTTCAAAATATGCTATATGGGTATCCTTTTCGAGGTATTTGGGGATGCTCATTACGAATATGGCACTCATTTCTAAATCCAAGATGGCGGACACGAGTTTTGAAATAAATGCAATATGGGTATCATTTTCGAGGTACTTGGGGATGCTCATGACGAATATGGCACTCATTTCTACATCCAAGATGGCGGGCACGATTTTTCAAAAAAATGCAATATGGGTATCATTTTCGAGGTACTTGGGGGTGCTCATTACGAATATGGCACTCATTTCTAAATCCAAGATGGCGGGCACGATTTTTTCAAAAAAATGCAATATGGGTATCATTTTCGAGGTATTTGGGGGTGCTCATTACGAATATTGCTTTTGTTTGAACTGTCGTGTTTGCCATCTTGGATTTAGAAATGAGTCCCATATTTGTATTGAACATTCCCAAACATCTCGAAAACGATACCCAACTTGCCATTATTCGAAAAATCGCGCCCGCCATCTTGGATTTAGAAATAAGTGCCATATTCGAAACCTAAAACCGAAAATGCCATAAGCAAACATTAAAGAAAATAACTGTTAAAATAGATTAAAAAATCGCTTAAGAATGCTCCCCTTTTAAGAAAATAAAATATTTCAATATAAAATATTTCGCTTGAGTTACGAAAAGAAAGACATAAAATAAGCTATCAAAGTTGTACTGGTGGTGCCAACACTATAGTAGAAACAAATATATACTGTAAATTTGTTGCAATATGTGCTCCAATTCAAATAAAATTAAAATAAATAATTATTCAATAAAGCATGAACGCAGAGCCGTTAAAAGTATTATAAAATAATTAAGTGTCCCAATCACTTACAGGAGTTAACGAAAACATTTAATGTTTATTCGAGTAAATATTAGTTCAAAATGCGCAAATAAATCGAAATTACAGGCACCACTAAAATTTACGTAATATAATTATTTTGATACAGAATAGCAAAATGGGGAGAAAACAAATTCGTTACTTTGCAACACTTTCGTATCTTGTTGCCGCGAAATTATTTTTCTGTTTTAGTGAATATTTACATAAAAATATGAGTTGAAACGCATTACTTACTTGTGGAATGCGATGTTAGTGTCTATTTTGTTTGTCTGTTGTATTTTTACACCCATTTACCGCACATTTCGTCATTTTTAGCAAAAAATTTTGGAGCTGTTCGCGGAGCAATATGACCTTGAGCACTAACAGCCCGCGCGCTCCTGGGACGCGTTTGGAACCCTCTAACTTGCCTCACTTAGCGTGTGCGGGCTAGGTTTCTATGCGTTATTATTCTAAGGTTTCAATTTTTTGTTTGCGCAGAATCCACCTGTGTGGTAACATCGCTCTACTTCTACTTCATCAGTGCAATCGCACAAGCGATTTAAGACCTTAAGTTACACGGCAAGTAAAATATTTTCGATAAGGATCACTTTACATCAATATCAAAATATTGAAAAAATTTCTTCATTTGTGGATATCGATAGCGGCTGTAGTTATTATATAACTAATACATAAGATTATCTCTTGTTAGAGTTGTTAGTTTATTTACATTTACTTAATTAAGTTATTTTAATAAATTCTGCACTTAGAAGGACTAAAGTGCACATTTGTCGTTAATTATAATTAGTCGTTTATTAAGTACTTGGTTATTGTTTGGAGTTCTACTTTGTTTTTTGTAATGAACTAATTTATTTAAAAAAATTTTTTCTACAAAATACAATAATCAGCAATGTTATTTTTGAAATAGCGAAAGTCCATTTTCGGGTTTATTTTTATCTTTCTTTAACAACAAGCCAGTGCTCTCTCCACAGTAGGGCTCAGCGCCCACTGACTTCCACACTCCTACACACGCACACCGATGGCAATTATTCCTAAGTACGACAAGGTACCCTTAAACTCGTCGTAGTATCTTTAGGTAGAAGCATTCCGTAGCGACATACACTCTATTCACGTACGTACACGTACTCTCTATTCAGACCTCGGCCCACAGAACACTATACTCACTTGTCTCTGCCTCCCTTCGCCCCGAATACTCGCCCTCGGCGTCCCGAAACTCGCGGAGGCATCCCCAAGGCTGTGGAGGCATTTCGGAGGTGGCCGGCTCGGTATCGCCAAAGCATGCTGTAGCTGTGTTTTTGGAGGCTACGACCATTATCATGGGAATTTCAGCTATAACGTCAGAACCTTAAGGCATCTTTTCGTCACCTTAAAATCCTGTGCTGAGCAGCGCAGTGGGCGCCCAGATAGTTGTTATCCCGGCCAGTGGAATCACTTTACCATCCGTATTTCATGTCCTTTTCCTATCCGGATAGGCAATGACAACAGACTTCCGCTTGTTGTGATCGTGACACACATGTTTGGTCTCATCAACGCGCATCATTGCTTTCATACATGCTCGTCGGTTGAGGATACCCTTCACCTGCCCTTTCTTTAGAGAATCCTCAATTTGGTCATAGTAAGTTCGCCTTGATCGGCCTTTACCAACTTGCCCAATCCATACCGGGTTGATATCCCAAATATCAGGATCAAACCCTACGCAACACCACCGTTGAGAGAATGAAACACGCTGTTTGCATTTACATTTTATTTCCGTGTACCTTGTGTAATCCTGGGTAACCCTGAAAATCTTTAAGGGTTGGATAAGTTGCCATCTCCTGGGGCAGCTCGATCTAGCATCTTGAACTTGTTTATGATTGAACCCACGGTTTATTAAAATAAAAGTTATTTTTAAGAACAAAATTACACATTTCTGTAATGCATATGCATTCAAAAACTAAATCATACAATGCTCGTTTTGTCAGTAGAGGAATCTGATCCAACAATTTTCGTGTATGGAATTAAAGGTTGAAAATGAAACTGCTGCGTCGAATTGATTAAAAAAAGGGACTTTATTAATATTTACATAATATATACTTAATTATAAACAAATGTCCAATGTTTAAAAAAATGGGAGCTACCTTTATGCTTGTGATACGAACATACGTTGTCTGTATTCGTTGCATCGTTATAGATTTATGTATTTACAAAAATATTTAATAACTAAAATACAGTTTGAATGTTTATGTACAGAAGTAAAAAATGATTTTCACACGCCGAATTATGTCTTTGGCATACAATTAGTGTAAAAAAAATTGTTGACAGATATTAATAAATTTGTAAAAAGAATATTTATTTGTTTCATTGATTTTACAAAATGCGATTTGAAGCCAATCCAAGAAACTTGCTTACAAAGTTCCTACGAGGTACTCCTGGTACTTTTTTCAACCTCTGATAAAACCTATGCGCGGTTAGTCTAACGTCTGCTCTCATCCCTACAAGGCTCTGACGGCATAATAGGAATTGAAAACGTGTTTTTTTCACAAAAATAGGGTCACGATATCCTATCCAATGACGTGTCCTAAAAACGGATAAAATTACCACATTAAAAATTTTAGCATACCCCAGGGTGGCATTTAATCTTTCTGGCTCAGTGTTGCTATTTTAACTAATATTATCTGTCATATTTTTCACAGTGTTGCCGTACAAGCCACTGTGTCTATTAATTATTTGCCAAATTTTTGTGTAATTAATTAGGCATTCAATTTGCTATACCAGAAATTAAATATTAGTATACTTTAGCCATGGCTAAGATATTGTACAGTCAAGGATACATCAAACTTGTACTTTGGATCTTACTTATTCGAAGCGACATGAGTGAAATTTAAATCTTAAAGTGTCAAGATGTAATGAACTGCGTTTGCATGTTTATACCGGTAGTAATGCATTGCGTATCTATACTATATACTGACTACATATGAGAGACAAAACAGTCTTTAGTTTAAAATAATAAGAAAGTTGATAAGTATTTCGCAAAACTTATATCTAGTTCTATTATATAAATATATAATGTTATTATACAAGTGTTTATTTAAGTACTTTGTGAAATTAATATAAAAAGTATTGTATAATAATAATACTATCGTATCGTAATAAAATAGATTTAGCATTTAATGGAATGACATGATCAAATTATTATTTGAGTATTTTCGGAGAACATAATTCAACCAGTTGTTGAAAACAAAGGAATAAGAAACCTTAACGACTTAAATACTAGCGCTACTTTTAATTAATTAATATTGGGTCAACGTGGCAGAAGGGTGCGCAAAATGACGGCAGTTTTTACCCTTCTTTATAATTACGCTAACGTTGGACAGCTACACCTGGGGTCCCCCCAGTTCATTGCATTTTTTGATATTGTCTCGTAGAAAGACTAGACGCTGCGCCTGGAGCCGATGGATGATACCGAAATTAATTTATTGCTTACTAAACACAGTAACTTTTAGTACCTGTTCTCAGTCATTTCGTCGATTTGTTTTTTATTTAATTAATTGACTGTTTGATATGTCTGATTTCATTTGTTCTTGGTCTGGGTGAAAAGAAATGAGAATCTTTACGTCTGATATTCTAATTAAATATTCTGTTATAGGTTGATTGTGATATAAAAGGGCGCGGCCGGTGTGAGGCTGTCGATTATCGTCGGCCGTGCGAGGAAGTGTGTAAAATCACGGACGCTGGGATGCCACCTTTAAACGGCTTTCAATTATTGTCATTTACTATTGTCATTACTCATATTTAAGTGATTTTGTAATACACTTAAGTCATGAACTTCGTTCTTTACTACTGTCTTAGAGTAAAAAAATGAAGCGCAAAAATGCCACTTAGATATCCTGATATTAAAAATGCGCATTTCAAATTACCTCTAGTGTCATGGCCCTGCAAACTTTATAGAAACTATGATAGTGTTTATATCGTTCTCATACAATAGCCAATGTGGTGGTGGTTGTGTGATCGTCTCTGGACATGTGGTGAAGCTCCTGGTGAATACCAGCTTCCTTTAAGATCCTCATTCGGGGGCCCAAAGGTACTCCCAGGGCGCGTAGTTTGTCTTCTCCTACGTACGGAAGTTCTGCTGCGCCTACCTTCTCCTTTTCTAAAAGAGCAGCGTATTTCTGTGAACAATTTCGTAATGTTAGATGATGGGTTGACAGATCCTAAAGATGGAACGGCATGGCAGCAGACACGGACTAAATATTCTTTACAGTGTAAAAGTACCTACCCCTTATTGGACCTTTTAGGTAAGTTATGGATGTGGAGACAGTGTAGACTAGTTATTTCTGCCACCAAGCAGGAATGAGAGTGCTGTTTCTTAATATTATAAAAATAAAAAAACTTCGTAACTTTCATATTAAAGAAATCAGTCGATTCATACAGAGATAGTATGCGAAAACATCGTATAGGTACGTCCAGTATAAGAGAACAATAATTCGCACATAATTCCTATATGTGAATGCCTGTCACATGAAAGTATTCACGAGTAACTTCACTATCACACTACTGTAGATTATAAATGTTAAATCTATTAATTTATGTGTTCGCGTTTTAGTATGCATCTTCATATATTTATTTATACAATAAACATCCGTTATTTATGCACTTAGCCTTTTCTTAGCGAACTTGACTGATTTGTTAAATGTGATTTGTAAAAAAGGAGGAGAAAAGGAGGAGAAATGGAGAAAATTGTTTTGCTAGATCAAATGGTGTAGGTAATTACAATGAAATAATGGTCTTACAAATATACGATACACCTAAGGATATTGTCTAAGAGTGGTTACACACGGCGACTTTTAGCAGCGATGCAAACGCGCGATTGCATTGATACAAACGCGCGATTCCATCGATACAAAGGCGCGACTCCATCGATACAAACGCGCGACTGCATCGATACAAACGCGCGATTGCATCGATACAAACGCGCGATTGC